CGACCGTGTCCAAGGTACACAAAGAGCTCTTACAATTCAACAATTTAAAAAATGAACTATCTGATTTAAAAATGGGCCAAAGAGACACTTCAGCAAAGAAGATGTACAGATGGCAAGTGGGCATATTAGAAAATGCTCTGCTTCGGGCCAGCAGGTGGTGGTGGTTTAGTCACTGGACTCCCACATGGCCAACCATGGTTTGCGTCCCAGACCTGGTAGCTTGAAAATCACATAGGGCATGTGTGTGTGCATGTCCAAAATCCCATGAGGAGAATGAAGAAGGGATTGTGGCATGGTCAACCCCCCCGGGGGGTGATTTCCCACTTTCCCTCTCACTGCCCTCTCTCTCTCTCTCTCTCTCTCTGGTGAGTGCACGCACCCTATGGCAAGGGGGGAGGGGGAGCTCCATTTCACCTGTCATCAAGGAAATGAAAATTACCCAACAATGAGATACCACTATCCCCCCGCCATGGCAAAGGCCAAACGCAGGACCCTGCGAGCACCGACTGCCGGCAGGATGCGGGGTGACGGGGCGTCCTTCACCGCTGGTGGGACACACAATGGTGCTGCTGGCTTGGAAGACAGATCTGAGGTTCTAAAAACACACCCTTACTCGCAGACCCGCCAGTCAGGCCCCTAGTGTACATGAATGCGTGTAAACCTTGTCACACTCAGCAGAGGGCCACACGCAGGTGTTGACAGCAGCTTTACTCACAATTGCCCAAACCTGGCAGCAACCACTGTCCGTCAGCAGGCGAGTGGACAGACACGCTGCCGCCCAGCCAGACAACGGGGCGGTACTCAGCGCTAAAAACAAATGCACTGTCAAGCCAGGAAGACACGAGGGACCTTCGCTGCGTGACACCACGTGAAGGAGCCCGGCTGAGAAGGCTGCAGCGTGGTCCCAACACTGTGTTAGACACTCTGGCGAACGTGAACTACAGAGCTGGGAAAGAGAAAACAAAACACAATGACGACAACGGGGATGGGGTCAGGGGTCAGGGGCGCAGAAGTGACCAGGCAGGGGGATTGGGGACCTGGAGCCAGGCCGTGGGGTGCTGTAGTGGGCACGTGTCATTCCACATGTCTGCGCCCAGATCCCAACACCGAGATTGGTCCCGAGTGTAACCGTGGGCTCTGGGGGACACGGAGTGTCAATGCAGGTCCCTCAGTTGTAACAAAGGGGCCAGACCGCCTGGGGGTGCTGGGGGGACTGCTCGTACTTCCACTCAGCTTGACAGTGAGTGTCTAAAAGATAGAATGTGCGCCCAGCCAGTGGCATGGGGGTTAAGGCACCGGATCCCCATGGCCAGCTTGGAAATCATGCCAGGTACCTGAGTGTGCGTGCCCACAATCCTGAGAGGAGACTGGAGGAGGAGGGGCTGCGGTCTGCAGTGTGGCCTTTCTCCTGGGGGGTGATCTCTCTCTCTGTGTCTCTCTCTCATTCCCTGGTGAGCGCACACACCTTACAACAAAACCTTAAAAAAATGGAATGTGAGTGTGTGTATTTTTAAAGCAATCAGGGAACAGGACCTCCCATCATGTTTTCCTCAGAAAAGGAGGGACCTGACACTCTGGATCTGGCAAGAAATCCCGACATCAGCGGTCACCCGTAGGTGGTGTGTGCCACTGAGCACTGTGCTCAGGCAGAATGGGCCTCTCACCGCAAATGGGTGGAAAGGACCCTACCCGCCCCTTTCCACCTGGGGCCTTGGTGGCCCCAGGGCTGGCCAGCCACCCCTGAGGACTTTAAACAGCAGCTCTGGCCCCGCCCCTGCCTGCTGGCCCTCAGGGGCCTGACCCCCTGCAATCACAGGGGACGGTGCCTCGGGCCTGACCCCGGGCAGTCACAGGGGACCGTGCCTGGAAAGGAGTCTCAAGCCTCAGGAGCCTTCCTTTAGCACCTGCTCTTCGAGCTGCAGCAAAGCGGAGCCTGTGAAGTCCCCAGACCCTCTGCGGGGAGCGGGGGCTGCGAGTGCTCCCCAGACCCTCGGCGGGGAGCGGGGGCTGCGAGTGCTCCCCAGACCCGCTCCTGCAGAGGAGGCTGTGAGTGCTCCTTCCCACGCTCCCAAGTGGCCGTTAGTCACAGTTCCCTTTCTGAAGCAGCCGCCTTGTGACGCGCCTCGGTGCCGTCTCCACATCGGACTGAATCACGCCGTGAGGTTCACCCTGACACTTCCTGCATGGGCTCCTGTGAGCCCGGGTCACTGTCTACCGGGACCTCCCTGCAACACCAACGACATTGACCCAACATGTCCCTCCCAGCCTTGTCACACCGGGACACCGCCAGTTGGCCTGTGGTCAACACCCACAGTTTCCCCAAATCTCAAATTCACTGGAAACCCCAACCCCTTCCACGGCATCCCACACACATCCCACACAGGTCCCTCAACTCAGGAAAACATCGGAGCCACATCCCCTCTCCTGCGTGTGCTCGGCAGAGACAGAGAGACACAGAAAAACAGAAAGCGAGAAATCACCCCCACAAGCCCTTCTCCACCATTCTCCTCTCAGGATCTTAGGCACGCATGCGTACGTGCCCGGTGTGAGTTTAAGCCACCAGGTCCGGGACTCGAACTGCGACAGAACACTGCGTGGGAATCCAGCGATGTAACCATTACGCCATCTGCTGGTCCCACAGCCACCCGCTTTCTCACAAAGAAGGAACGAAGCCGGTGTACGGCTGGCGGGGAGAGGATGGCCTCCGAGGGCCTCGTCCTGGCCATTCCCGGGCTGCAAACCAGCAGGTGCTGCCACGCCCACAGGCAGGGCCGGGGCTGCTCCAGCCCTGCCAGGACAGCGGGGCGCCAAAGCCACAGCCTGCAGGTACTGGGCAGCTCTCGGCCCTCTACCCAGTGCTCCACTAGGCCTCCCAGTTGCCTCCACTTCCAGACCGCACAGGAGCCACCACTGAGCCCACCCAAGGCAATCCCTAATCCCTCCTTCGATTCCCGTGTCTGAGTCCAGTTAGGGTTTGTGGGCTTCCGTGGGAATAGGGAACCTCCAAGGAGGCCCCGGCACCCCAACCTTGGACACCAAGGCTGTGGCCGAGCCTACCCACTCAGGACACAACCTAGCAGCACCCGGCTCCCCCTGCTGCTTCCCTGTCCACAGTGCTCATCGCAGGGGGGGCCTGACTGCCGACTCTCGCACCTTTAAATTGAGCCAGGCTGCTTCTCCACTGTCCAGGCACAAGGACTTGACTTTGGAACTTGAGGCCAAACCATCCCTCAGGGGGTGTGTCCTCTGTACTCCCAGAGCACGAATCCAACCTAGAGGAAGCTGTGAGGGTTCAGAACCCTCCGCTTCCTGGCTGTTCTGTAAAAGACCTCTGGTTCCTTCAGGTCTCAACCCCAAACATCACCCCCAGCCTTACCTGGGCACCCCCCGCCTGATCGCCTGCATTTTCTTCATAGCACCTATGTGCCTAGTCGTGTGCTGTTCAGGATGGCGCCCGCTCCCTGGTCCGGGAAAGCAAGGGCCTGTTCGTTGTGGCTTCAGAGGGTCCTACCAGCCCCGGCCTAGTCTGATTGTCACAAGGCAGAAAGAGGAACCCAAAGGATTCCTGGCAAGGGCGGTGATGCCGCAAAGGAGAAGTACCCGAGAGGCAGGGAGGACGAGGATGACAAAGAGAAGGATGACTGCCTCTTGTCCCCACCTCTGAGACCTCAGTGGAGATTAACACACAGCATGGTCCTCCGGGAGGGGCTAAGAGAAGTGTGGCCATTCCTGGAAACACTCAGGGAGACCTGAAGGTGACAAGGCCCCACCCTCAGGGGACTGAACAGAGCGGCAGGTGTTCCCCGGGGGCACCTTTGTCCCTGGGGGAACATGCATTCCCCTGCGCCTTCACCAGTCCCTGGGGGAGTGTGGGGGCACGCCCATCCCCTAGAGGTCAATATGGCACGAGCACCCTGGGGGCACACATGCACACTGCCCGGGAGAAATTGAGGGGGGCATAGACATCCTGGCGGGTACACGCCTCCTTGGAGGTCAGGAAGGTGGTGAGAGGTCGTCAGCGGCCTGAGGCCCAGCCCAGGGTCTTTCCCAGTGACCTGCCTGAGGCCAGCCACGGAGGCTGCCCCTGCTCTCTACCCACCACTCCACACCACTGATTCCCACTGTAAGGCACAGCCCCAGGGGAAGACCAGCCCAGACAAAGGGAACATTCCAGACTGCAGCTCCCAGGAGAGACCCTGGGAACAACAGTGTACTCTACACACACACACACACACACACACACACACACACACACGTGCATGCATGCACACACATGTGTTCACATACGTGCATGTATGTAAACGCGTGTGCCTATGTGCGTGTATGTGCACACGTGTGCGTGTGTATACACACAGAGCTCTATCCCTTCCCTACAACGCTAAAATACTTTCAAATGCATTATCTTTGTGGGCACACGTGAAACTCCCCTCACTCCCAGGCGCCCCAGGGAGGTCACAGGAGCGGTCACAGGGCCGGGCACGCAGGCCTGTCCCTGGGTGGTGCTAATCAGTGGCGACCACAGCAGAGCAGCACGGGACTGCCTTCCTGCACGACCCGCCTTGGTCAGGAGCAGCGAACGTCCGCACTCCGGCCGACCCCGCCAGCAGGGGGACACCGGCCCGCACCGGCTGGTTCCCCACCAGCGTTTTAGGTCTCTGGGACGAGGCAGGGCCTGTCCCCAAGGTCGCAGCGGCGCGGACCAGGAGGGT